TTTCCCTTTTTTTTTATCACCTCTACTAAGTAGGCTGCATGGCCCTGTGGAAAGACCCGCCTACTTCCTGGTTTCGGGGGATCTGACTTCAGTCCCATCCATTGGTTCCCTCAGTTCCACCTTTAACCAATGGCTCATCACCACCTGCAATCATCTCCTTCTCATAAGGAGACCTCACCTGTTGATTGAGGCAGCTTTTCATAGTCAGTTGACTTGTGTGCTTCGTGTGAACCAAACATTGTTGGTTAGCAGCCCCTTGTGTGTTTAGTGAAGTAGCTCACTTAAGTTTTTGGTTACCCATTTGGGGTTTGTGCTTAGTAGCTTGTGTCAAGTATTTTGTTGTGTTTTGCGTATGTGCATCTTTACTAGCTTGAGGCTAGAAAGAAGGTGGAGGTAGGGCCAGAGTCTTCACTGATTGCATCACTGAGTATTTTTTTGTTAGTTACATTAGGTATAGTGGGTGCTGTGCTCTCTGCGTGTTCTAGTAAGAATCCCCTTTTGTTTAAATCTGTAGTTAGGGACAATCCTTCTTTTGAGGATCTCTTTTATCTAACTTTGTTTGTTATTTTCATAGCACCCTCACTGACCCTTCTTTTCTTTGTTTATTGCTTGCACCTCTTGTTATCAAATAAATCATAATTTTATAAGAACTTACCAGTTTCTGCCTATATGTTTATGCCCCCCCACTTCCCTAGACCAACAGGGGGTCGTAACATTTGTTTCAAAAAACTTCAAACGAGTCATTATTCTCCTTATATAGGTCTTATGTTTTGGGTGTCTTTTTGTTTTTAATCAGCATTTAAATCTAGAAAAAAATTATAATTGTTACTCTCTGCAAAATTTTAAATGATAAATCATAACAGTTTATCCATACACACTCACACAACAAAATGTGTTCAGAATTGATTGTGCATGTCAGTGGATAATATGTTGCTAAATAATAATGTAGGAGCTCAGTGGGGAAAAAAGAGACGAATTGCCTTGCTGACCACACCTCCTAAATGTGGATGATGGCCTCCTAATAGCTGCTCCCATTGTTTTACAGGGCCACAGGATGAAAAGGTAGTTAATTACTGAATCAAACTAATCCAGCTGCAACACATCTCTAATAGAGTATGTGCTGCTACGGTTCAAACACAGCTTTGTAGCTCCTGCTTACTGCTGTTGTGTGGGTGATGTTGGTTAGATAATATTGCATTTCCCACATATGGATTAAATTAACAGTGACTTACAAACCTATTTATGTTATAAAATAACCCCAAATATATGTAAAACCATTAACCCCTGTTGTTGGAAACTGATCCAATTATGTTGACCAACATAAACATATTTCTGTGTCTAAACAAACTATATATATATATATATATATATATATATATATATATATATATATATATATACTGGTAAGCTCCCTATGTGTCTGCATTTGTCTAAAAGCCACTAAGTTTAAGTTTTTCTTAAAAGAACATAAAAGCTCCCAAAGCCAGTTATACAGGAAAACTGATGTCGTCCTACAGAAGATAAAATGAGTCCCTGGTTGAAAATTGTGTGTCACATGAGGGTATAAAACATGCTACGTGGCAATAGCTTGTGACCCCATTTATGGACTCTCAAAGGGCACAGTGCAGCAGAGCTTTCTCTCTGATCCTTCAACTAAAGGATCCAAGTGACGCTGTGAGTTTGTGAAGTCCACAGCCTGATGGTAGAGGCTTGGGGCCTAAGATTTATACTCTTTTTACATCAAACTTCTGCTGTGTAACTTAACCAAACTGCAGAGTCTTCACAAGGATACGAAGACTCCTGTGAGATAATAAAATTCTCAATCATCAAATTGTGGGACTTTACAACCTCTGCATGTCCTTTGTTGTGCTCACAATAAATTTAGCTTTTAATCGTTTAAAAATTCAAACTAACAGAAAACAGATTTAATAGGATCCTACTGCCAATGAAATGTAAGATCTTATGGCAAACTTATCAAAAGAGAAAAGTAGAAAGGAATGTTTCAAGAACCCCCAGTAAAAACTAAAGAAACGAAAGTTAACTAGGAACAAGTGCTGGAGGCAAATGCTCCTCCACCCCAAAGTTAGCATCTGGGTATAAGAGAATAAACTACTGTAACCTAAAGCATCCATACTTTCCGATCTGGCCAAAAAAGGTAGAATTTGTTGAGTGATCAGACTAACTGTAGCAACGCAAACTAAAACCAATGTATCAGAATATTGTACCTTCAAACACTTAACCAATGTGTCTCCCAAATACAGGTTTCATGGTACATGTCTCTGTTAATAATTACATACACAGATGTTAACCAATAACTTTTTTTAATCCAAAAAATTGGTTTGAATGGGTTTATTCATCTTTAGAAATTAAATAATAATTTGATAACACCTCTTTGGATGAGGCCAGGTTATCTTTGTCCTATATTAAATTTGCTTCATGATCTGAAACATTAAAAAAAGACTTTTGTACAGTCAATAAAAAGAAGCATAAGTGAGAACATACTTGGATCAGACAAGATGGCGTCAGACTTTGGTACAAACTGGTCGCAGCGTAGTCCATGGTAGCCCTCCTTACATCTGTGGAAAGAAAAGAAGGCAAGAAACAAATTAAACAGTTTGAAAAGCACAAAGTTCAGCAGGAAAATACAATCTCAGGAAACTTTGAGATAAGGACAAGTTTAGAAGAGGGAAACCTAGACAGATGAAGGGATGAATAGCACAAAGTCCATATCTTGCTGTGAGCTGGGATGGAAGAGGAGGGAAGACACACGGCAGTGTAGAATAGAATGGGAAGAAAAGACAGAAAGGGGAGAGCAGCTGGGAAGCACCAAGTACTGCCTGCAGTCTCACTGATAGCACATGACAGACAGCAATGCCAGGTCCCGGTGGAAGAGAAGAGGCTGAGGGGTTCTGGCATGATCCAGCCTCCATAAGATCTGCAGCTGAAGGAAGGATGCCATAGCTGGAACACGTAAATAAACACGTTTCAAGCTCCAACCAAATATTTGCCTTCATTACTAAATAAACATGCAAGGACTATTGGTAACTACAGATTTCCCAACAACTATCACTGAAAAAGTTTTTTATATGTTGGGCTGTATAAAGCTGCAATAACTGTAGATAATGAAGAACTTTAATGCAATGCCTTATAATACAATCAGATTTTTGCTTGTCCCTGCAATACTGCAATCAAACTATAAACAAAGCTCTTATTAGCAAATTATTGTTCCTGAACTTTGTCTTGAACAGAATTAAGGATTTATTTGATGCATTCATCAGTGGCTATAGTGTGAGTAGGGGACGCCTACACCTTTTCAAAAGAAAAAAAAAAGAAAAATTCTTAACATACTTTTAGTAAATAACCATCTGAAATGTTCCTCTGAGGGGAAACACTCAATTTTGAGCAAAAATACAACATAGATAGCAACCATGGAAAATGCTTGAATATAAAAAAAAAAAGAAACAAGAAATAAATACTGAGATGAAAGGGAAAAAGGAAAAGAATTCAAGATATGAATGTTGTTGTTTATGTGTGAAAACTACAAAAAAAGATTGTGATTTTCTGTTGATCAATTTTACAACAGATTTGCACCTCCATGAAAATACTTAGAATGTTTAGAGTGGCCCAAATTGACACTTATTTTAATCTAAACATGGATTCAAACACCAGTAGAGATTAACTAACATTTTCCTAATATTAAACACATAAAAAGAGTATTTTAAATGCTTTATCGCCATCCTGTTGTATTGAAACTTTCCAAGGATGAGAAAAATCATTAAAGTGCTTCTTATTCCAATAGCTATTTAGATAAAACGCTGCAAGTAATATTAGCTTTTATTCAATGAACTCCTTGAAAAGAAATTATTCAATTAACCTTATTGCATATATGACATAATACAAATTCACCAACAAACTACAAGAGCATTTCTAATTTGGAAGAAAATGTATTACATATTAGGTGTGAGTTCATTGAGGTGTGAGTCCACAGTGATGTCGTAGTTTGCTTAATCTTGACAATAGCTTACAGGAGCCGCTTGTGAATTAAATCCTGGTGATCCAAAGAGTTTCAAGTAAAAGACCTGGAATAATGGGGGAAGTAAAATAATAGAGTTATGAAGTTTGCTCTTTGGTTTCAGGAGAGCTTTATCTGGGCAGTTTGGGAGCACTAGAGCAACCTCTTCATATGGCAGTATACAGTAATGCATAACTGAAATTTGAAATTGCCAGGCACATTACTTTTTAAATTAGGTGTGAAACATATCCTGGAATTAATGCTTCAATTTCCAAAACCTCAAACTCTTTGTGTCATTTCATTTCTGCAGTAATAAGGCAAATATATGAAATCCTTCATAGTTTGATGCTCAGGCAACTAAAGAGGGATAGTGACTATATTCTCTCAATGTTTCTCTCTTGTAGGCAGACTTCCTCAGCTTAATAAACATGAAAATTGATGAATGTAAATCCAGTGCATTCAAAAATCTGGTTCATATTTATAGATAATCAAGATGTTGTGTTTTCTATCAAAAAATGTAAAAACAAACCAAACCAAACAGAATTTCATAAATCAGACTCAGGACTAATTGGGTCCTGGGGTTTGATTTATACATTTTGCCTATGCACAAAATCGGTCCAATAAATTGCAAACTTCAACTTCCATGCAAAGTTTGTGATTTATAGAAATCTAACTTTCCATGAAAATGTGCGATCCTTTACGCAAACACTGACTCATCTGTACGGGTACGTTCTTTCTTTTTTGGAGAGATCAGAAATTGGTGACACTCAGGTTGTGTGGTGACTGAGGTGGGGAACTGAAGCCAGATTGAATCATAATTTCTCTTAGACATTTCAAATGAAACGATAATCATAGATGGACTTTATCAGATCCAAAAATGCTCTTGGACCTGCTGGACCCACGCCATCCTTGTTGAATACAATAAAAAAAAAAAAAAAGAGTTCCAGAACACAGGAACTTTTATCTAGACCTCATTTAACTATGAAAAACAGCAGTAAACAATGTTAACGCCTACGACCTGGACATGTATACAAAGAAATGTGTGTTTTTAAATGGGAATTTTGGCTATTTATTGAAATAACTGGAAACTAATTTAAAATAAATGAGGGTAGCAAGGACAAAAAACCTGAACTGAACTGTGTAACTTTTTGCATTTAAATAAAGTAATGCTGTTCATTTATTTATCTTTAAACTGCCGCCTGTAGATTAACAATGGCTATTTCAATGTGATTAAATTATTGGAATAGTGGAAAACTAAAGGCTATTAGACTAAGGCTACACTCTGCACCCAATTTCTTAAACTGTTAAACCCAACATGAAAGGAAAAATCCACATGGATTTTTTTTTCAAGAAAAAAAAATTGAGTTTTTTTTCCCTAATAAACTGTATCTAATATTTTACCATTAATACATTAACACACTAGGTCGTATGATAAAGAGCTTTCGCTTTTTAAATAGATATACAAGAGAAAAGAATACAGACAGTATAATTTAAACAATAAATTAACTCAATATATTAGTAATAAAATAATCTCAAAAGCATTTTGGACATCTTCAACAAAAACAAGTTATACTGTTTCCAAAGCACTTTTGTAGAAGCACTGAAACATAAGGAGGAAGGAGAGCCATGCTGTTTCTACATCTGTATTGGTACCATCTTCCTTTTAAGTTTTTTTTTTCTTTATAAGAGTAACAAAATTTCTACAAATTGATTTGAAATGGGGGTAAAATTGGTGATCAAATGATCCCAAACCTCCTTAACCTTTGAGCTTTAGTTTATTTCTCTTAAGAACAAAATTAGAAACAGGAGAAAATGGAAATACAGAAATATGAGGAGAGATATTGATTAAAGACACAGCTCCATCTGTACACACAGAACCTTGTGTGCTCACGGTCATGAAGGCAGATAGAGGTCCATATGACAGGAATACAACTGGAATTCTCAACCTTTATGACAGGAACAAAATGGGTATTTCTTCACTAACAGAAGTAAGGCCTTTATTATAACTTTAGGATGATACCTTTGTTTATAATCAAACTCATCTGGGTATCAATATTGTAAATCAACCTTGAAAACAAAGAGTTCAAAATATAACATTCAGCTAAAAGGAGCATCCATTTTAGAAGAAGACCTTAAACCTAATAGAGTTACAAATGAAAACAAGAAAAAAAATGTATGGATACCTTTTTCAACCAGCGAAAAATGTACATCAGTTAATGTTGTTTTGTTATTTTGAAGAGTTATCCGTATGGCAAGTGTGTCTATTTCCAGTTCAAACCTGTGGACCTTTGCAGCATGTTTTCCAATCTCTCTCTTAAAAAAGGCCACTAGAGCAGAAAAAAGGTAATGAGATTATGTGAGATTTTAAAACCAAATCCACCATCTGTTAATAATAGAATGTGCAGAATTTTCTTGCAAATCATCCTTCCGTAAAAAAAAAAAAAAAAAAAAAAAAAAAAAAAATTTACTAGCAGCAGAAATAATTGATTGTTGTGCAAGTAATGTAAAAAAAAAAAACATATTAAAAACCATCTTGTATTTTTCTTCATTTTCTATCAAGTATAATTTCTGTACTGAAAAGCGTATCATGGATGATTATTATTGTTCATTTTGCTTTTTGTTATAACTGCTGAAAATTACTTTATTGGAAAAATATGCAAAAGACATCTGTTTGGTAATTACATGGAGAGCATGCCTCTTAAAATAAGCTCTAATCACCATGAAGATGTCAATTGAAGACCCTTAAATCTGATTGAGCATTTTAATGTGACATGAAAGATGCCACAAGCTGCTTTGAAGCCCTAGTTCAAATGGCAGCAGAGGTTTGGATAAATAATCAGATCCTAAACTACTATGGAATAACATATGGGAGCCTTGGTTGGAGAGATTTTGGTTCCCTCTAATTCACAGCAGTCATATATAAGCTTCAAGAACCCCTGTGATTAATTTAAAAATCAAATCTTGAAGTAAATAATGAGCACTTCTCATTTATTTAGTCATAAGGAAAAAAATAAACAGGAATAGTAATGAAACGCCTACATTTCAGGGGAAGCATTCAAGACGGACAAATATCAAGGATAAGCCAGACCTCCCTCGATGTTGTTTGACTCTGCCATACATCACTTCTTGTATCCCTTGGTGTGTGCACATGCCTTGTTAGTATTCTAAATCACAAACCCAAGGCAGGATGCCTGTCTGACAATCTGTTACGTCTATGGTAGCTTTTTGTTTGTCTGTCTTGATCCCTCTGGAAACCCCCACCTCACCCTACCCATCTTGGTGCTACTGTAAAATAAGCTCAGCCGTTGCTCAATGTGATGTTATGAATGCCTTGTAAATATCTTTACATGAACGCTGCACTGAATGTCTGATAGGGTGATATGGAAAGCGAGATAAACGGCATCCTTTCATGTGCTCCTGTTTGGTTTGTCTTTCTGCAGAGGGTAACAGGAGAGCCAGATCTTGCATCTATGCATACGAGTGTTTCTAACAGGGTTGTTGTGGTGGGGGGTATATATTTTAGTGTATCCAGATGTCAGTGTGGCTTGTGGGACATATATGACA